CTCCTGGTCTGTAAGCTACCAAAGCATGTACTATGCATAAAGGGCCAAAATATGTGCAGTTCTTTGCCTCTGCAAACCTGGGACATCACAGAGATTGTCAAGGGCAGAAATTGTTCCGTGGATCAAAGAGCTTTTGCATGTTAAAGGCTGAGAAGAGGTGTGTTTACAAGATATACCGCCAGAGACAGGACAATACACTTTAGCTTTTTTGTTTGTTCCACATAATCAAAATACAAAACAATCTTCAGAAATATTTATCAAAAGCTAGACTATTTTCAGCCCTTTACTTCACCTAAGGTGGAGGTAATCATTCCATGCCACAGGGAGTGGTGGGCAGGACACTGGAAGGAATAAACTCGACTTCCAAGCTAACAAGAAAGTTCTGGTAGGATTTTTTTTTTTTTTTTTTTCAATTACCAGTAAACACAGCCCTAGAAGAGGTTAAATTTGCACTTTGTGAGCTCTTTGCAGACACATATGCACACTGTGTTAGGATCCCAGAAGATACTCGGAATTCTGGCTGGCTAGGGTTGGCTTTCCTTCAATGTGGAACTGCTTTCAGGTAAAAATTGTAGCAAAAGCAAGGTGCCTGTAGCAGAAGATTAGAGCAGTTTAAGTTTGGCTATGTGTTTTAACAGAGAAATTTTTATTAAATTTATCTACTCAGCTTTATTTTTACTTTGTTTAATCTGTAGAGAATGTAATCTTTTGGAGAAAAAAAAAAAGTACTTAAAAGAAACCTGGTGGAACATGCAAATTTAAGTATTGCTTTACTTTCACAGAAATAGAGGACCTGTTTTGTTGTTATCTTAAGTTACACATGATTGAAACAAATTTTAAATGGTGAAATTAGTTTGCCACCAGCTGAATTGCAGCTTCATGTTTTGCGTGCTAGAGGCTCAGTCTAGCAAACAAACAAACGAAAAAAAGCTAAGTTTAATTTAGCTCTAGTTAAAACAGGATTTCTTACATGTTTGCGTACTTTGCTGAACTAAGACTGAAGAGATGTCCACAATACTTGCTTTTTATATTGGGGAATTATGGGGCTTAGCCTTTTTTGTCTGAAAGAATAGAATCAAATAATATAACTCTGCTTAATAAATAAAAGTTTTAAACATCTCTATGGAAGGCTGATTGTTTATGTTGAGAACTGCTATGTTATAGCTGTAAATAAAAGTTTATTTCAGTTATTGTAGAATTCCAGTACCTGAAGAATACATATTTAGATCTGAGGCATTCAAGAAACAGTGCAACTGGTCTCCAGCTAAAAGCTAAAGAATCGTAGACCTCAAAGTGGATTTTAGTTCCTGACTTTTTGCAGAATGGCACCTGCGTACCAATAGAAACATTTTTAATGGAAGTAACGTTGTGGCATCCAGCATGCTTGCTTCCCGACCCAAGTGTTTCACTTGCATTTCAGTCTCAGATTGTACCTTACTGCGGAAAGCAATGGTATATTCACACCCCTTTGTTCTAGGGAGGACACCCAAAGGAGTTCTCTAAAGACTTATACCAGCAAACGGACAAGTCAGCACACACCAAAAAAAAAAAACCAACCCAAACTGCCATCTAGTGTTAGGTTCAAGGCTGGCAAAGAGGCAGGGTAGCACAAGTAAGGCAGTGGAGAATACTGTGAGAGGTAAGAAGGTTATCCCTGTAGCCATTATACAAGACTGAAATTATCTTGTGTTCAACATTATTGAAACCTGAAGGTGAACTGTGACGAAATCTGCTACAAATAAGTCAAATATGTTCCAACAAAGTAACTATATCTGAGCAAAGCTGTAACAGAGAAACACCCGTATAAATTAGGAATCTGTTTCAATGTAACTCAATTCAATTACAGTATTCGTCACTGACAAAGTGAAGCAACATTTGCTCTATTTCCTAAAAAGTCATATTCATATTAGCACTAGTTCCTTCCTAACAAGTCTGGTATTGTTTTTTTCTTAGATGGGATTGCTTCTTAAGTCAGAACTGTAGAGCATAAAAGACATTAATAGCATAGCCAAGGAGAGAGAACAAGAGCAGAATCCAAGACTAATAAAGTTTATGTGTGGGAAGTTTATATGCAGAAAAGTCAGGTATTTTTCAAAGGTTGTTGCTTGGAAGCTCACGGTATGAAATAGTGAAAGCATTATCTTGCTTCCCGTAAAAATAAATATCTCCCATTTTGTGAGGAGAAACCAAGATAATTGCTGTAAAAAAAATCCATACATTGTACAGCTGTTGCTGTGACAACCCCATTATTAGTCTTTTTTTCTGTACAGATACAATTTACAAGCTCAGCAAAAAGCAGGAGCAATGGCCACTTCATACCACATCTAGAAGCGGTAAATAGGGTTGAGCTGTTCTCACAACTTTCCAATTACCCCTGTATGCTAAAGTGATAGCCGGAATGCATGAAAATATAGTTAAAAATATATATTAAAATATATGAAATGTATTAAATTTTGTTATTAAATATTTAAAAATATAGTTACTGCAATAGTGCAACTGAAGTAAGGGGAGCTGGAAAGCCTGGCTGACAAGCTGGAATGTAAGAAACCACAAGTGGTACCCTCACAGTTTGCCCAAGGATGGAAGATGATTCACACAATGTGGCTGTGGTATTGAATGCAGGGGGATTTTCAGACAAGGCAACGTCTACCTACGCCATGCAAAGATATACAGCAACACGGTGCTGCCAGATTGGATTTTTCTTGCATGCTTACTGTATGAAAATCAGTAACCAAATGAGGGAGGTGATTCTGCCCCCCTGCTCCACTCTGGTGAGACCCCACCTGGAGTACAGCATCCAGCTCTGGGGCCCCCAACATAAGAAGGACATGGACCTGTTGGAGTGAGTCCAGAGGAGGGACATGGAGACGATCACAGAGCTGGATCACCTCTCCTAGGTTTAGATTAAATATTAGGAAGAAATTTTTCACTATGAAGGTGGTAAGGCACTGGCACAGGTTGCCCAGAGAAGTTGTGGAGGCCCCAACCCTGGAGGTGTTCAAGGCCAGGCTGGATGGGGCTTTGGCCAACCTGGTCTAGTGGGAGGTGTCCCTGCCCATGGCAGGGGGGTTGGAACCAGATGATCTTTTAAGATCCCTTCCAACTCTAACCGTTCTATGATTCTATGAAAAGTACGTGAGACGATCATCAGTGGACATTATACACAGAAGACAAATGATACGCACACAGGAGAACTGAGTTCTAGGTTTGAGCTGTTGCACAGCTGAACGCACAGTATTGTGACTTGACCAGTGGCAAAACAGCGTTATACCCTCTCCTCACTATACTACTGGTTTTGTGGCTTACCAAAATTGAGTGAATTTCATCACATGAGATGGGACTAGAAATAGATTCTAAAGTGCTCAGTCACGCCACTCTGGCATACAAACAGCAGCCTCTGGAAGGAGCAGCCTACGGGCTTCTCTCTCACAGTACGTTGGATAAAGCAGGTACATGTTTCTACCACTGAAAAGGTACATTCTCCAAGCTGCTGTGTTTAGCTGTTTTTACTTTCTACACAAAGAAAGTGAAGATACAGTGACAGTAGCATCCCACATGTAACTGGATGGCTGTCTTCACAGAAGGGAGCAAAACAAAGACGTTGAGGTGGACAGACTGTAACAGAGAATAATTTCTGCTCGTTTCCCCCTGAATAAAATAATGCTGTGCTTAGTCATATGGCTGTGGGGAAGACAGGGAATCAACTCTACCACAGGGCAGCTGACTTTCAAACTAGTTCCTTAAAAACATGGTATCCATTTCTACTTGGTTAGAAAATAAATGCAGAGGGATGGGATAACTTATGGCACCACTAGTCTGAATTCTCAATATTCCATAATCACCACATCAAACAGATCTCTAGAGGTGTTCAAGGCCAGGCTGGATGGGGCTTTGAGCAACCTGGTCTAGTGGGAGGTGTCCCTGCCCATGGCAGGAGGGTTGGAACAAGATGATGGTCACTTCCAACCCAAACCATTCTATGATTCCATGATTCTGTGCTTCTGCCCTTAATGGCAGAGAGAAAAATGCCAAGAACTGTGATGCCATGGTAGCCAAAAGCTTCCTGTCTTGGAGGATTATTTTCATCCTTAGTTATTAGAAGACAGATAAGAAACCTACTCTTTTGGTTTGAATTATTACTTATTGAATAAGCAAGATTGGGAGTTTTTTGTAATGGAGTATCAAAGCATAACCAGGAAAAGAAAAGTTTGTTCCCAGAATAGACAAGCACAGTTTTACAGATGCAATTATAATTTATTCTCATTAAACAGGTTTATTCTTTGATGGGTTTTGTTTTTTTAAAATCAAAAGATAGTAAAAGTTGAATCACTATGAAAAGGATTATGAAAATGGTTACAGGTAGAGATTAATTTACAGATGATTTATAAAGTTAGCACTTTATTTCAGAAAAGCATAATTTTCTTCTCTGAAATTAATATTAACTCTCTTAAGCAATTGCTTCCATACGAAAAAAAAATGTGATTCCCAATAGTAATCTATTCTGTAAAGAGTTTAAGACAGTTCAGAAACAAATACAGTAAAATTCCCCCAAACACAAAAGTGAAATCATATGCTAAGCAATTCAAGTGTTCTACTGTTTTCCCATTTGTCATTTTTTCTTATTTAAAATTGTTACTAAAAATCATTACTGTTTTCCATGTCCAAATCACCCATAGCATAACTGTCATATGTTCACCCAAATGTGTACTTCATATCTGAATATCCAGTCATCACCATAAAGTACGGGCCCTGTCCTGCAATCAAGCTCAGCTGATTTTAGCAGGACTCCCGGAGGTTTCAGGCTTTGCCTGCACAGAGCTCACTGTAAGCTTGTATTTTAGAGAATCCAAGGCCACAATTCAGAAGAAAGCACCTCTCCTCAGTAAGTTTAGTGATTTCAACTGTATGTAACTGCTGATAGTCAATTGTAGGAACAGGATGTAAGGGAGAAATATTAAATCTAAAACTGCTGTCATAGGATATTCAGTCTCCATTTATAGTCAGGCTGAAGCATCTTGGAGGGGTCCCTGAATGGCGATAGCTTCAATCTCAACTCGAGCACCCTGTGAGAAAACAACGAGGAAACCTATTAGGAATTTAATATATCTATTTTATGAAGCAAATGGATGTATAACACAACCTTGTAAGAAGAGAATGACATTTGTCAGAGATTATACTTCTGACACTTGTATTACTAATTTAGCAATGTTAAGTAATACTGAAAATTCACTTTATTCTTACGTAAGTGTCATAACCCCTTATTTCTAGTGTTGTAGATTTCTTTATGGTGGAAGATGTGTATCTCTCATGTCTAGACCTCTTACCATGTGTGGGAATAAGACTGGTATACTTTGGAAAAAACTAAGAACTTAAGAGTCTTCATTAAAATAATTGCAATCAAAGCTATCCCAGGACAAGAAAAGCTGTCAGAATGATTTAGAAGTAAGGAATTTCAGAAAATTAATTTTTTTTGTAGGCAGAAAAGTGACACTTACTTTTGGCAAAGCTGCAACCTGATAGGCTGCTCTGGCTGGAAAGTTTGTCTTGAAAACTGTAATTTAAACAGAAACATCCACTAGTCACTTAACGTTGCTTGATAAAACACAGTTCAAAGTAATCAGTATAAAATGCAGTCATTGGAACAGTTTCAGGTTCAATGCTACATGACAAATAGTCTTCTGTGCCAGCTATCATTTTCCCTTGTGTTTTGTTTTTTTTTCCTTTTGGTCACTGACTGGTTTAACATCTCAGCAAGCTACCTTTCATCATGGAGAAGGCAGCTACAGTTGTGACCTAGCAGCCAGTGATAACTTGCACTCTTCTGACACTGCATGGCCTTAACACCAACTTGGCCGAAAAAGAAACATAAAATCAGAATGTTGATCAAGCAATTGCAAAGACCAGAGAGTGGGAGAGGGCTCTTTCACAGACAGAGCAAGAGGGCGAAACAGGCCCCTGCCAAAAGTGTCATGAGCAAAGATCCTGGATTTGGCTAAAGTCAACAGGGGCCAACCTTACTCATACCAAAGAAAGGCAGAGTTAAAATAGGCCCTTCCTCCATTCACAATTAGGGTGGGCATTCAAGGATATTAAAAGAACAGGGGAATAAAAAAAGAAAAGAAGACAAAAAAGGATACAAGAGCTGAACATATAGAATCATAGAATAGTTTGGGTTGGAAGGGACCTTTAAAGTTCATCTAGTCCAACCAGCCCCCTTCCATAGACAAGGACATCTTTCACTAGATCAGGTTGTTTAAAGCTCCGTCCAACCTGACTTTGAACGTTTCCAAGGAATTTGCATAATTAAATGAAAGCTTTACTAGTGAGTTAACACTAAGCTCAGAAATGTTAATTTCAGGGTCCTGCACTGACAAGGCAGGATAATAACCCACAATCAAAGAACAGCAACAACTGCTTTCTTGAACTACAGGTAGGAGGCAACAAGTAACTAAGTATCCAGCTGGTCTTTTTTTACCCTGCTTAAATGCACACACAATCTCATTTTGACATGCAGAAGACCATATTGGTAGCTCATAAATAAGACTTCATTCAAGATCAGATGTTGCTATCTAATTAAAACCCAAAGCTATATAAATAAGGAACTTACGTGCATTCTCTCTCAAATTCTTCTGCACCATATGGCTCATTGGAATCACCTATTTCAGTCCACATTCAGTTTTGTTAACTAACCGTTATGCTTTTTTTTCTTAAGTGGAGCAGCATGGCTCATCCTTGTATAAAAACTGAGCCCTGTCCCATAGCAATAACCCACAAATCATTCAAAGATACACACAGACTTTAAAGAAATGGAGATACAAAATCTGGAATTAAGCATTTGAAGGCTGCCTACAGCAGAATTATATTAGGGACAACACAGCATCTATCAAGGTAAAGAGGCAGGGAAGATAAACCTGTAGGGATAGCAGGAGCTGATCTTCACAGATAGTGAGTTAGTGGGATGATAGAACACAAATGCACAAGAAATCAAGCTGTGCTTGATCTGGTGCTTGCAAATTTTTTTTTTTTTTTTAATATTATATTTCCTACTGGAATCTCAAAGAATCTGGAAGTGCATCATCTGAGTCATTAAAACACTTTGCTTACTGTGAATTTAATTTGTTCCACAAGCCATACTGGTAAAACAGAAACAAAAGATCTACTTACATTGTTTGTAAATGTCATTAATATCATTGAAGTCCTTCATGTCTGCCATCAAAACCGTAGTCTTCACAACTAGAAATTACATACCTGCAGTTATTTTGGACCTCTGACTTTTCTATAAAAGTCGAAAATCTTTAGTGCATTCTTGCTTTTATTTCATAAATTTCTTTTAAATATTCTAAACACTTTCAGAAGTTTTGCAAACATATATTGACCATTAGAGCTACCACCTAGAGAACCATCTAAAAAATCTGAATGCCTAGTACATAATAAAACTTTAAGGAATTAGACATTCCTGGCCAGCCCTGAAACTATATATTTTAAATTTTGTTCCAAGCCCAATTCTTCCAAGAGGCACAGAACTGATAAGCAGGTCAAATAAAAAGAGCTGTTGTAAGCTAACTGTTGGCAAAAAGAACATCATACACAATATCTGCTGACAAAAAAAAGTCCATAAAAGGCCTGAAGATATAGCTTATGCTAGAATTTTTTGTCCATGACTGCCCAAGCCAACATTAATCCTGGTTTGGCTCCACTATTATAGTCCTCCTCAAAAAATGCACTGAAAGTGCCTAGAATATTAACACCATAGATACAGTCCTGCTTTTACCTGGAGCAAAGTCTAGGATGCTTAAAATACCTGTAGTCAATTGCAGCTCTGCCTGTACCTGAGCTTCATCAGTTAGAATTAAAATGTTAGTACTGTGAACAGGAACTTATGGTCAAAAGTAGTGTCCCATTGATACCCATCACAAACATTTGCACGTTGATTTATTTCTTTTCTTTTTTAACTCAGACTCATGATTCCTTTTGTCTCTTTCAGCTATTGATAACAACTGCATGTTTAGCAAACAGTTTCAGGTTTTTTTCTTTAAAAGGTCACTTAGTATTTTTTTTTTCAATCCAGGTAGGTAAAACAACCACTTGTTTGCTACCATCACCACAACACTTACCATTGCCATAGTCACAGCCTGCAGCTTTCAGAATTTCTCCCATGTTTTTTAGAGCCTAATAAAAAATGAGACAAAAATCTTTAACTATCAGCTGGGTTGTGTTTAGGTAAGTATGTGACTATGAATTGTAATCTGGATACATAGAATCATAGAATCATAGAATGGTTTAGGTTGGAAAGGACCTTGAAGATCATCGAGTTCCAACCCCCCTGCCATAGACAGGGACACCTCCCACTAGACCAGGTTGCCCAAGGCCACGTCCAGCCTGGCCTTGAACACCTCCATGGATGGGCCCTCAACAGCCTCTCTGGGCAACCTGTGCCAGTGCCTTACCGCCCTTAAAGTGAAAAACTTCTTCCTAATGTTTAATCTAACCCTGCCCTTTTCCAGTTTATAGCCATTCCCCCTCATCCTACCTCTATATGCCCTAGTAAAAAGTCCTTCTCCAGCTCTCCTGTAGGCCCCCTTTAGGTACCGGAAGGCCGCAATACATCCATGTTATAGTATAAGTTCACACAGCAAATCTTCAACTGTCATCAGTAAGTAAGAAAATTCAGAAATAGATTAAAAAGTAAAGTAATAAAAAGGAGCTTCTAATAAACCACAAATATTAAACCATCTATTCATTAAATGTAAATGCATGATGCAGTGCCACCTCATCCTGCCTATTACCTCACACAACCTCTTTGCTGGTGGGGGAACAAATCTTTCCCCATCCCAAAGCCAGGGTTTTTACTTGGGTCTGAACCTTTGTTACAGACATTGATTCTTTCCTACATGAAATACAGATTCCTCCCCTGACCTCCACATTGTTTGGGTGGAAAATTACATGGATAGTATAGAATGACATCCTCTTGCTTTTCCCTCATCTTGGGTGATGTGAAATGCGCTCTCTAGGGTTCTTCAATTTCTCCTAAATCCATGTTTAACAAAGCACATGCCAACTCTACTACAAGTTTATTGCTAGAAGATATCTTACCTGCTTAGCTTCTTCCTTTGCCCCTCCAGGGACAAGCTGCCCAGTGGAAGGTTCTATACCTATCTGTCCTGCAATGTACATCGTCCGGTCTACCAGCACGGCTTGGCTGAAAACATAAGTGACATTTTAGGTTTAATGTTTCCCCATCAAAACATTTAACTATCTGAAAACACACTTCAAATTTTCTTCAGTAGTTTATAGTATCTCAGAAAGATAGAGGACTTAGGTTATGCACGCACAAGTCTGCGCACAGTCATACGTTCAATCTGCTTATGCTTTGGGAGACCTGGAATTAGATCACCTATGGAAAGACACAACTACATTAGCAGAGCTCTGTTTTTGAGATAATAAACCCTGTTTCTTGGAAAGGCAAAAGGCATGAGTGCAGCAACACAACACTAAACACAGCTACATGGCTTCCACACTGCAGATAGCACAGACGGGAGGCAGAGTAAACATTTTTTGTACCCGCCCAGATAAATATTCCATCCCAATTTGATAGGTAGACAATACCTTTCATCTACATCTCAGTTGCAGAGCAATGAAGCTTTTTTTTGTTTGTTTTAAAAACCCAACCAATCAACCAAAAAATAAAAAAAGAACTGATTAGCAAATGTACCATTTTCTTCTCAAACAGGCACCGTGATTAATTAGTTACAGCTGTGAGGTGAAGCCCTGCATGCTGGTTCTCTGGCCTTATTCCTCTAGTCATGAATTTGGCCCGTCAGCACACTACCTTGATCGCTCCATTCCCAGATCACTCTCCTCTCATAAAATAACCTGGTTGACCTGTTGGCTGGGTTAGTTCAGAAGAATGCAGAATTCAAGCTATTTGCAAAACATTTTTATATAAATGTCAGGTGTGTTTTTGCTGAAGTGGAGTTGGCAATTATTAATGTCTCTAATTACGACAAAGAGATTAAAAGATTAAAACAAAGATTTAAACTACCTAGCACACATTACGCAAGAGACATAATTTACTTCTCTTTAGCTGGTAATTAAAAATGTTTTGCAAAGAAATCAGACAAAGATTCTTTTAAAAGCGTTTGTGGTGTCAACACTGTTTTTCTTATCACTTCCCATTCCACAAGAAAATGCATTGTTTTGACAGTTCAACAAGCCATCTGAAGTTACACAAACCAGAGTTAGGCACTCCCTGATGTATCTAAATTAGGAGGTTAGCTTCACTTTAATGTCAATGGAGAAAGAAAGGGACTCTTTCAGAGAACATTTTTATTACATCTCTTAATTGATATTGACTCAGTTGGATTGGCTCAATCCATTGACTTCACGGGGGAACAACCTGATTTAGGGGCTCAGTAAAATGATTGCGGTTAGGCAATCCAAACAGTGCCATCACTACCATCTTTCCTTTTACTCATCCCACATTCTCCTGTCATTTCATAAGGGGAAAAAATAGCCAGTAACATATCTGATATAGCAATATACCTTATGTGGCAATTATTTTCTCTATCATCAACTAAAAAAATTCGAGTAAATGACAGAACTACACAATTTAAAGAAGAGAAACTAGTGAATGAAGTAGTTTTCTAGCTAATGCAGACTTGTTGATAGAAAGCCTGTGCATGAACCAAACACACACGCTTCTTTAATTTTATTTTCTTTCCTACAATGTCCTGCTTTGTTTGAGGCACAGGTCCCCAGACCACAAAGTTCTGTTTATGTCTGAAGCTCAGAGAACCATGCAATAAGAAGGTATGAGCTCTCTAAAAAAAGAGAATGTCTTGTAGTGCTTATTATAAAGCAAACAACACAATGAAACATTCATCCCAATGAAGGTCTTCGGACAATCCTAAATCACAAATAATTGGGGAAAAAAACAAGCTGAAGCCTTCTGATACCACCACCAGATCAACATCTGCAGCAGTCTTATTGGGTCCTCTCCTCTGCTCCTCAACTTTTTTCCCTTGGTATGCTTACCAGTGGAATCCTCCATTCACTGAGACTATTAACAATTTACCAGCTAAAGGGTATACTTCTACGGCAGTCAAATGCATGAGTAAAGCTCAGAGAAACTTCAACTACACAAACCCCAATCACACTTTAACTGCAGATGTATCCTATAACTAGGGTCAATCTTTAATCTTGAGTCTTTGATTCAGCAGAGATGCGAGTGTGTGTCTAAAGTCATACAGGTTTCAGTATACCTAAATGCATAACTGGATGGACATTATGACCTTAGAAGAACATCATCCATCAGAGAGATGGTGTTAAGAAGCAGGCTCTTTAAAGACAAGGACTGCAAAGTTAATCAGATCTTCTTTACACAAATGACTGTTGATTATTACAAGAACAGTATCTCTGCTGTGTCTTTTTAAAAGTTTAATATCATTAATGAGATGTATATATGTACACAGACACACTCACACAGGAGTCTTTTTATTTATCTATCTATGTATCTATCTACCTACCTCGAGGTACTGGAAATTGGATGCAGTAAAGGAAATACAAAAATACATTAAAACTAGATTGCCAAAATGCATACTGAAGGGCTGTAGCAGAACCAAGAATACAGTCCACACATCCCAATTCTTCATTCCATATTAAGCTCTCATTCCTGTTACTATGCTCAGACTCCACAGCAGAGATGTAGCAGTTATTTCTTGTGCAACTTTTGCTCACTGGACTTTGACACATTTACTGAAACCTGATAAACTAAGTTAGTGATAAACTTATTGATGTTAGACCCATTATACAATTAACAGGCTGCACAAAAAGCAGTATCAAGAACTACCAATAAGCACAAAATATCGGAGGGCAGTTAATCCTCAACACAACTGGAGAGCTAAGTTGAAGGCTAGGCCAGTTGGCATGTGTGCATGCAGCTGAAGAACCATTGCCTTCCCATGTCTTAGATGTTTTCTAACTACAAGCAATGCCAGGCCTTTGGCTGCAATCCACCAACAGTTTATTGTCTACAGAAGTTAACCTTCATGTCATGTCTCTCTGCTTATACACTTTGTATTTGTCCATCTTTATAATTCCTATAGAGAACACAAAATTTGAGACTCAGAAAGCTCAGTTTCAAAGTAATGGAGACAAAAATGCATCTGGAAGGTGCTAAGATGCTACAAAATTAAGAGTTAAAAGCTAAGGTTCTTGGTTTTATGTTGGGAAAACAAAGCCTGAATGCAGAACTAAAAATTCTTAGAAAATGCCCTGGTAAAAATCCCTCAGTACCTTAGATATAAGGTTCTACCATACTTATTGAACATTTTTTCACATTCAAATAGCAAAGAGAAACCTTTGTCCAATTAAAATTGGGATTATTTTTTTAATTACATTCTGAACTGTTGCAAATAACAATAAACTTGTGAAAATATTGAACATCTTATATATTTTTACAGCAGTTAGTTTTTAGACTGAAAAGCATTTATAACCTGTTGGCAGTCACATTCAAAAATAAGAAAAGCTTTGCAATTTCCAGGCAGTGAACTACCCAACTGCCAAAGCTCATCCTGGATCGGGCTCAGCCTCCGCTGTCCATCGCCTCCAGAGTCAATATTCACTACTAACTTGCCTATGCCACATGCTCTTTTCTAGGCGAGCATTTTTGTTCCTTGAGAGGAATCATTCTTTCTCTTGCCTCCTTTTTTCATTCACTGCTTATCATTAATTTCAGAGTTATTTTCCCAAAATCACTTTCTTTCTGAGGGACATTTTAAAAGCTCACCTAAAACCATCAGGACACCGCCCCCCCCGGTCCGAAGGCTGAATTTTGCCGCCAGCACTGCAGACCCACTACTGCTGTAGGGCCTCAGGTGTCGCGGGGGGGGTTACTGGGTCCCTGCTCGGGGCGGGTGTGTGTGTGTGTGTCACCTTCACCACAGCCCCCAGGGCTGTCTGACAGACCCCCGTCCCCTCCAGGGACCTACTGGACGCCCTACTGGCAAAACCCGCTCCCGCTCGCTCCTGCTTCTTCCAAGAGACCCCCCTCCCGCTAAGGCATACCTGTAGGGACCCAGTGCAGCGGGGGCCTTAGCAGTGCTGATTATTTTCTTCACGAGCGAAGCCATAACTACTGCTGACGCTGCCACCACCGCGGATGCCGCCAGCCCC